ATCTTTCCAGGGTTGCTCTGACTTGATCAGAAGCCCGTGTGTTTATTGGCCACCATTTTATGAATACAAACCAGGACATAGCCCCATACACAGGAATTTTTTTCTCATTTATGGCTATTACTTGAAACATGTAAATCACCAATAACATTTTAAAGGCAGGTACAGGTCATGGGCAGTGGGTCAGCTGCTACAAGGGACCATTGCTTGGCTTTAGGAAGTTTTCCTGGGCCGCCAAGGCCTGGCAGCCATGGCCAGTTAGTTGCTGAGGGTATCAACCAGCTGCTCTAGGCTGTCTGATATTCCCAATGAAAGAGCTGGAGTCTGAAACAGGCCACAGAAGCAGTCCAGGCCGAGATTAAGTAGTACATAATGCCTGTAGAGACTAAAACTTAAGGGCCAAGGAGTCTGCTGCCCTGAACCAGAGAGAGAGACCCAGAAGAAGATGGTCATTTCCAGACCTACTAATGTCAGAAAAGAGATGAGCTGTTGAAGGTTGTCATGGGCTTCGTATGTGACATCTGTCCAGAAATCCACAAAAGCAACTACATAAATGGGTAGGACATGCCTGTTGTACGGGGTGGCCTTGATGTCCTCATGGAATAATAGGAAGCCTCAGCAGAGCTTGAGTTCTGTTCTAGTGGCAGGCATTACGTTAGAGAGGAGCAAATCTGGCCTTTGTGCAGGCTCAATATGTGTCCAAAGATAACATCTTTAGCTTCATATTTCTTAGAGACTTAGCGAGTTTATGTTGTTTGTTTTCCTATGTGTTCAGCTCAAGCACCATGTAAATCAGTTCCTTGAAAAGAAATTAAATAATTTCCTTCCATCTCTGTAAAGGCATTGTCTGTGAACAAGTAGTAAGTAGCTCTTTGTAACTTGTGTAGCAGCCGCTGGCCTTAAAGCAGCAGTCCGTTCTGACTTTGGGCCAGAGCAGTGAACACTAGGATTCCCAGGTGACAGGACTCAGGACCTTGCTGCTCGTTCTCATGTAAAAGAAAAAAAATGTTAAAGACATGTCCTTAGTGACATTTTTATCTTGTTATTTTTTAGATGAGACAGTGTTGATAATGGGTAACAATGTCCTTAGTGACATTTTTATCTTGTTATTTTTTAGATGAGACAGTGTTGATAATGGGTAACAATGTCCTTAGTGACATTTTTATCTTGTTATTTTTAGATGAGGCATTGTTGATAATGGGTAACAAACTGTGAGAGTTTCCAGATCTGGCTTAAGTTTTTTTTTTTTTTTTTTCCCCAGAGCTGAGGACCGAACCCAGGGCCTTGCACTTGCTAGGCAAGCGCTCTACCACTGAGCTAAATCCCCAACCCCCTGGCTTAAGTTTTAACTCGATTCAGCCTCTAGCTTTGAATCTGAGAATTCCCATAAATTCCTCATCTGTGAAACGGTGATCATGACAACTGTATTTACCCCATGAAGCCTGTGAGATGAGATGAGCCAACAAATATGCTACTTAGCCAAGTTCCTAGGATGTTTTGAACACCCAAGGCCTGGTAGTCACAATAGTAAGCTTGGTAATAATTGTTATTTATATGGGGATCAAATACTTAAAATTATAATATGAAAGCATATTTAAGACCTTAGGAAGCTTTGTGTTTAAAAAGCAACCAAGAACATTTTAGAGGTGATTCTTAGTATGTTCTCAGGCATTAAAAGAGAAAGTTCTTTTAATGAAATTTACCCTTCTAAAACCTAGGCAAATAAGATGGAATTGTGCCCTATGCCTTCCTGTTCTTTCTGCTTAAGGAAATTGCACTGCCAGTCCACGTTTGTCTAAAATCCCTCCCTGTTCCAGCCCTACTCTTCCAGTGGAAAGCTAGGAATTTCATTCTTCCTACTCTGTATGTAACCCAGGGTCTTGACAGTGGCAGTGGCCACAAGTTCCTCCAGGGCCCACCTGTCATCCTTCAGACTGGCTCTGAGCTGAGGCTTCCCGTTGTTCACCATGGCTTAGAAGCACCCCCACACACACACACCTCAGTCACCATTACTGAAACTGGAGGCATTTTATGAACCTGTGTCTGTTATTGGCTCAGTCACCATTACTGAAACTGGAGGCATTTTATGAACTTGTGTTTGTTATTGACTCAGAGCACAAGAGGTAATGGAGAGAGTTTTTGGCTAAAACAAAACAAAAAAATTCAAACTAATAGAACCTGCCATCAAACTTATGATTACAGAAACGATATTTATAGGTATAATTGGCTTTTATTAAGGGTATGTACTAAAACCGGCAGATAAAACCATATCTGTCAATTCTCTCTTGGTGGAAATGGCTAATGATATTTGAAAGCAAGTATCTAGTCACTTTATTGTTTGGTACTATTCAGCCCATCAAGTAATTTTAATTAAGGCTTTTTTCCATATCTAGAATACTTCCATTTATTGACCAAATACTTTGTAAATGCCAAATAGAAAGTAGTACATATCATTCACTTGGATTCTAATTTTTATGAGGTCATATACAACAGCTCGACTTTAATTTTAAACACATCATAAATAATTAGAAATGGGGGCTGGAGAGGTGGCTCAGTGGTTAAGAGCATTTGCTGTTCTTTCAGAGGACCCAAGTTCAATTCCAGAACCCACATCAGGAGGCTCACAACCACTTGTAACTCTCACTTCAGGGAATCGAACACCCCTGCACTCATGTGCACCTACTCACATGCAGATACACATACCCATACATAATTTAAAATAATAAAAAATGCATGAAACAAAGTCAACACTTGTGTGGTACTCCCTTTTACAAGGCATCTTTACAAATATTATCTCACAGGTTAATATCACTGTAAGATGAAAAGGACAAATGTTTTCTTCATTGTTTAGGGAAAAAAAGACATGAAGAGACTCAGAAATGTTTATTATTAAAGTTCACGGTTCCACCACTTATGACCTCACACCAGCCACTTAATCAGTCCATGCAATTCACTGAACCGTGAAACAGTTTTAAAAGGTGCCTACTTCACAGGCCAGGAAGATGGAATGAGTGGGAAGCACAGAGCCTGTGTCCGTGCATGGTGTCATCAGGTCATTCTTAACTGTTAGAAAATATTGGGACTCACACCTGGATCCAGGCTTCCTGACTCCTAATCCAGAACTTTTCATCATTCCAGTGACCCATAGACATGATGGTCATAAAGGCAGTTCTCCTTTAATAAGAAGAAGGAGCTGGAAGAGAAGTATTTGGATCTCCCAGCACAATAAAATAAATGTTTGAGAGAGGCACTAATTATCAGAATTGGGTCACTATGCATTGTGTTCATGCGTCAAATTATCATCATGTGGTACCACAAATTTGTATAATTATCACATGTCAATTTAAAATTACGTTGCAAGCAAGATATAAAGGTCCATGCTTGTCATCCCAACTCTCCAGAAGCTGAAACAGGAAGATGTCCAGTTTGAGGCTAACCAGAGTTACACAACCAGTTCTCGGCCAGCCTGAAATAGTCAGACTCTGTCTCAACAAGGAAATCACATACATCATTTTAAAAAAAAAGAAAACAAAACAACCCCACCCCCAGCTATGTTCATGGAAATCCCCCAGTCAATATTGATGTCTGCTGGTCAAAGTGAAGATCGTAAGTGGTTGTAACTACTCCCCGTAGATGGGACATCTATATCAAAATCCTCCCCCTCCCAACCCCAGGGCTCAGAGAACACCCATCCAGGAAGACTGTAAAAGCCAAAGGCTGGAGAGGAGCACTGTGAACTGCTGTCTTTTGGGATATGACGTGGCCATTGTGCTCACATTGTGCTCTACACAGCTTTGGTTACCTGCACACCTTGATAAGCCAGTCCAAATTCCAACACAGACTAGGGAGGATCTCACAAAGTCCCACCCCTAGCTGGGGGTGGAAATTCAGTTTTCTTTAGGAGTATAGCCACTGCTACTTTGTCCTGCTTCAGTGGATGACCTCACACGTGTACACATATGGACAGGCCTAATTGGACTCAGTGAGTTATGTAAAAGAAGAGGAGGAAGAAGGGAAGGAAGGGAGGAGAGAGAGGCAAATACCATTAAAACACATTGTAGACAAATATGGAGTTTACGAAGAAGGAATTAAAAAATCTTTAAAAACTTTAAGCAGAAAAAAAGTTGACATTTGGAGATTGTAATTCCTTGGGGAAACAGCAGCAGTGACATGTGAATACCCATAAAAAGCAGCTTTGAGGAAGTATAATTCACATAGTATACAGTTCATCAATTTAATATGTGTTATTCAATAGTTTTCTGTATATTCACAGACTTGTACAACCATCAGTCACTAGGATCAATTTTAGAAAAAAATCTTTATCTCAAAAACAAACTGTATTCCCCCTGCCGTCTAGTTACAGGTAGCCGTTAATCTGTTTTTATTCTTTTGGTTTTGTTTGTTTGTTGTTTGTTTGTTGTCTTGATTTGCCTCTTCTGGCTCCTTTCACATAGCACAGTATTCTCAGGACCCATCCCTGCTGTGCATGAGTGAAGGCTCTTGCTTGATGGATGCAAATGATGCTTATTTTCTGGCTATTTGTAGCTTGCATCATTCGGAGTCTACCTGTCTTCATTAGTGATGTCAAGACCTATTTTGTGGAAATTCTACAGAGGTGTTTGAACTTGCTTCCTTGAGTAGTTACGAAAGTTAAACAAAGTGATGTTAGAGCACCCAGCCATCACAGTAGTGTGTGAGTTAATTAAGCACCAAACTTTGTGCCTAGCACAAGGGGGTCTCAAGTCCGTTTGCCCCATTTAAATATCCAGGGTTTATTAAGAATTTATTAACAACGAAGCAAAAGGTTGCTTAATCTGTTGCCCCGACTAGTCTGTAACTCCTTGTGTAGCTCAGGTTAGCACACATGGCAAGCCTCCTGCCTCAGCCTCCTGAGCACTGGGATTGCAGGAGTGAGCCCCCACACCTGCTATAGATAATATTTTCACTATTGCTTTGAGGTTGAAGTACTGATTTCTTCCATCCTTTGTTTTGTTCTCCCCAAGGCTATGCCTTCCTGCTGTTCCAGGAAGAGAGCTCAGTGCAAGCTTTGATAGATGCCTGCCTAGAAGAGGATGGGAAACTGTACCTGTGTGTGTCCAGCCCCACTATCAAGGATAAACCGGTAAGTGATATGTAGCCAGCCTCTACTTTCCCAGAGCACATATGCAGTTGACTAGCTGTTCATCCTCCTTATCATGGAAGTGCTTCATTTAGGAGCCTCTTACCTGGATTAACCTTGCTGTGTAGAGCTGGGACTGTTGCTAGTGATGAGAAGTTAATTAAAAAGTACTCACAGTTCATCTTACACTTTTGGGACCATAGGTAAACAAATGTGTCCTTGATACCCACTTACAGCTTGGTAAACTAACTCCTGTTTGGAAACCCTAAATTGAGGTGAGCAATGCTCTTAGTGGCTTTGACAGCTCTTTTCTGTCATTATTTCAGATCAAGGACAGGAGGAATTTATTTTTAAAATATCATAATTGGTAATGTTTATATGTCCCTGAATGTAAGGCTTTATGTTGGGTTGTATCCATGGCTACCTGGTGGGTGGGCCAACATGTCACACTAAATGGACAATTTCAGCAGGACAGGAGAAGGGCAGGACAGAGAGCATGGCACTGAAACTGTAAACAAATGTATGAGATAGGCTTGCTCCTTAGAGTGGGAAATAGTAAAAACAGTGATGTGGAGTGGACAAGGGGGTGAAGCGATATCTAGGACCTAGGACATCCACCGCAGACTTCCATCAGAGATGGGGGGGGGGGGGTCACTTGGTTGATTAATTATATTCTTAGAACTGTGTCTGCACAGAGTTGGCTTAGATGTAGAAATTCCAAGTTTGAGTCTTAACTTTATTATTTAATATTTAAATATCTGCTTGGTTCTGACTAAGTCATCCATCCTGTCCTTGGTGAATTGTGGTTTTCTCAACTAGAAAATGGGAAGAACAGTCATTCTAACCTGGGTTGTTGAGAGAAAAATGAATGTAGAAGCACTCAATAGAGAGTGGGTACTTGTGCAGACATAATTCTTTGGTGCTTTCAGTCCTGCATAGTGCTATAATTCAGGACAGCACAGCTAGAGCTCGGCTCAGGCCACACCTGCTGGGAAGAACGGTTTCCGACTTGTAGAAGAATGCCACTGAGACTTGGTCACCTATAAGGAGGGAATTAGTATATAAGTAGAAGAGGAAATTATTACAGAATGGGGTTATTGAGTCATGGCAGAAAGGTTAACACAGAAAAAGAAGTAAGGATTTTAGCCATTATGAAAGTATCACTGTAATTGTTAAGTTCTGGGACCAATGCCAAATTTTGATAACAATAATGACAGTGTTGGATACTGTGACTCTATGGATTGGGAAAGAGTAGGTGAGGAAGAGAGTGGGGAACCTTTGTTAACTTTGAGCTTTATTTAAAAGGTATGTGCATGGTGTGGGAGACATGGGGACTTACTGATAGGAAGAGCATGCAATACCCCATCAGAATAATAAATAACCCTGAAATTACTTAAGTCCTTTAGAGTCGTGTAGAGTAGAAAGTTTCTACCAAATTTAGCAGTTTGTCTTAACAGTCAATCTGCAGAGATGCCCTGCACCTTTCATTCAGTGAGAGTGAACTAGGAGGGGTTATGGTAGGACTGGCCATGCACTGTAGGAGAGCACTAGAAATACCTTTTATATGTAAAAGGCAAAGGGATAGAGGTTCATGATGACGTGACTATGTCAACAATAGAGAACAAACTGTAGAACTGAAATGAGGAGATGAGATGGGCTCAGGACTCAGAAGTTCCACCTCACTGGCTCTGTAGGGGGAGGAAGGAGATGGTGTCTGGCAGGGGGACCCTCACCGGGACAAGATGTCTCTTGAGAGGAGCAAACTGATGGTTGCACCCATAGGTGAGTGCAGACACACCACCATTGCTTTGGAGTGGTTGCTTGCACACACAGGTGAGTGCGGACACCACCATTGCTTTGGAGTGGTTGGTTGCACACATAGGTGAGTGCGGACACCACCATTGCTTTGGAGTGGTTGCTTGCACACATAGGTGAGTGCGGACACCACCATTGCTTTGGAGTGGTTGGTTGCAAACACAGGTGAGTGCGGACACCACCATTGCTTTGGAGTGGTTGCTTGCACACACAGGTGAGTGCGGACACCACCATTGCTTTGGAGTGGTTGCTTGCACACACAGGTGAGTGTGGACACCACCATTGCTTTGGAGTGGTTGCTTGCACACACAGGTGAGTGCGGACACCACCATTGCTTTGGAGTGGTTGCTTGCACACACAGGTGAGTGCGGACACCACCATTGCTTTGGAGTGGTTGCTTGCACACATAGGTGAGTGCGGACACCACCATTGCTTTGGAGTGGTTGGTTGCACACACAGGTGAGTGCAGACACCACCATTGCTTTGGAGTGGTTGCTTGCACACATAGGTGAGTGCGGACACCACCATTGCTTTGGAGTGGTTGCTTGCACTCTAAGCACTTGCATTGCTCTGGACTTGAGGGACTTTGAGAATAATTAGTGCAATCTTCCCTCCTGGAAATGTCTCTGGGAAACTGACTCTCATTATGTCTTCACATTCCTACCTGATCGAAGTTTGCCTTTTCTGAGCTGGAGGAGTTGTTTCACTGCAGAGTGATGAGTTCTGACAGTGATTATCAAAAACTCATTTCATTGACCCAGACACACTCAGGGTTTCCAGCATTAATAGTTTAGATAAAACATAGGAAGAAAATCCCTCCCTGATGATACTCTAATTAGAATGAAGTGCATTTCATGTTAGGTTCCAGGTCTTTTGTCTCGTTTTGCAGCCTCTTTCTTGGCATTAGCTTTCCCTCTGCTGTTCCCAGCTTAATTTTGTCCTGCCTCTCTACTGGCTCGTACACATCCCAGCTCATGCGGATGTCCCACAGAAAGTGACAGCTAGAGTCAACCTTCAGAGTCAATAAGGACCTTGGAAATAGGCAAGCACAGTCTCAGGAGCTCATTCACCAGGCTTTCTCAGTGTGGTTCCTCTTTGTTCCATGTCTTAGGTTGGCTAGCATTCATGCTCTACCCTTCAGAATCCCAGTGCCCTGGTGGTGATGTTTAGTTCTTTCTGACTCCTTGTATTTCTTCTTGGAAATATATCAAGTTCCAAAAGTTACCTTAAAGATTTTTTTTTTATCCTTTGTCCTTATTTATTCCTTTTCCTCAGATCAAACCCCTCTTCCAGTTAAGTGGATCAAGTTATTCAGATTGTTTTCCCAGTGCAGAGGCCTGTAGTGAAGTTTTCTCAAAGCTATCTTGTCCAGGATCATGCTTCTTTTTAACTCAAGTCAATCCCAAACTAATGGGTTTTAGGGCATATTAGATAAGTGGTTTTGTTCAGTGATTTCCTGATTCACATGGATTGTGCTGTGTATGGCTTTGGTCCTGAAAGATGACAGAGAGAACTGTGTTTATTGCCTCATTGTTTTGACTCTTTAGTCCCAAAGGAAAGAAAGACAGATTGGCAAGAGCAGGAGCTGTTGTAGCTTCGAGACCTATAACTCCTTTTCTCCCTGCAGAGAGAGGAGCTCCACCATTCATCAGTCCTAGACGCCCCAGCAGATGATAGTTGTGTAAAGATGTGTCTCTGCCTAAGGTGCCTTCTGATTGGCTTAGTAAAGAGTTAAATAGCCAGTAGCTAGGCAGGAGAGAATAGGCAGGACTTCTGGGCAGAGAGAGAGAGAGAGAGAGAGAGAGAGAGAGAGAGAGACTGAGAGGGGGAGTCTAGGTGCATGATTTGCCAGCTGGACATGGAGAGGAAACAGGAGGGGAGATGGAAGAAAGATGACGTCACATGGCGAACGTAGATTAATATGAATGGGATAATTTAAGTTATAAGAGCTAGTTGAGACAAGCTTAAGCCAAGGCCAAGCTTTCATAATTAATAAGTCTCTGTGTCATGTTGTCGGCCCAAAGACTACAGACAGTGATGTCTGTGCTTCCAGTGAAGTAGGTGGATGTTTGAACAGTGGTCCCTTCCAGGAAGGTGATAAAATATAAATAGACAGAACCTAAAGGTTCAAACAGCAAACTCTAGAGCAGGGACCTGGATGAGCCCCACAGAGCTAGCTGGTAACTGGAGAGAAGGAAGGAGACGTTAAATGAGCATGGATCTGTCTGGGCACTGGGGTTGACCTAGAATAGATCTGTAGACCAGCCTGACCCTAAATTCAGAGATCTACCTGCCTCTGCCTCCCAAGTGGAGCTAAAGACATGTACCACCACATCCAACAATGATCCTTCTAGAACAGATTGGCCAGAGTTAATGGAACAGGAATCACACAGAAAGGAATTTAAACTCTATTACCAAGCTGATGTGTGTTTATGTAGGTTAGGTTTTGGACTTTTGCTCAGGTAACATGGCCATCCACTTAAAAACAGAAAAACAAAATTCAGTGAAAAAAAATGACAGAGGCCAGGAAACTGGAATTAGATGCTGCTTACTGCTTCAGTTCTTTTTTTTTTTTTTTGATTTTTCGAAACAAGGTTTCTCTGTGTGGCTTTGCGCCTTTCCTGGATCTCACTCTGTAGACCAGGCTGCCCTCGAACTCACAAAGATCTGCCTGCCTCTGCCTCCCGAGTGCTGGGATTAAAGGCGTGCGCCACCACCGCCCGGCTCAGTTTTTTTTTTTTTTTAATTAAATTCTAGCTGAGTTATTTTATGTGTGCATGTGTCTATGTATATGGGGCACATGTGGAAGTTGGAGAACAATTCTGTGGAGTTGGTTCTCTCCTTCCACCATGTCAGCCCTTCAGGGGAGCTCAGGTCATCTGGGTGGGTGGTTAAGTGTCTTTACCTGCTAAACCATCTCACTGGCTCATTGTTTCAGTTCTTAATTCTGTCCAGTCTGTCATTCCAGTCTCTCTTGATCTACTTTATGTGCCTATCAGCGGAATTTCAGACACTTTTAGTCATTCTTCCTTGGTTACAGACACAGGCCTGAGAGTTAAGACCTTCCCAGTCTGGCTTCAGTTTTCCCCTGACCTTACCTTTTTTGCTTTTCTTCTGCCCTTCATATTTGTTTATTTACTTTCCTTTTTTTTTCATGTGGATGTGTGGAGTGCATGCATGTATACAGT